CCCTGAAAATTAATGCTCACTGTATACCATAGCCATCCATACCCAAACCAATAGCATACCTCTCCCTTCATCATCCATGTGCTCCATTCACACGACTAATCACTTTTTCGTAGCCCTTTTAAATCATTCACTATACGGTCGTTCAGTTTTTACATATATTTTATGCATTCGTATCGATAGAGTCGGTGTCTTAATGGCAATGCAAACGCTTTTTGAAATCATTTATTTTAATGTGTTTTTTATATAAACTTATAATATATTGTAAAATAATAAAATATGTTTTGAATGCTAAATAATATGGCAATACTTAATATTCTGTACTTTGAGTGCAGAATATTCTGTGAATTCTGTGTAATATACGAAAGAAATCACGAAATCGTTTGCGTGTATTCGCAGATCATTAGCAAACACTTCAATATAGGATTCAGTGAACACTCGTTATAGTGAGCATAAGATTTATTTTAAAATTATAGATAATTACAAATAATTATATTACTGTATTACATTTGAACTATATGAATCCGGAAGGAAATTAATTTTTAAAACTAAAACTATAATTAAAATCATTAGTTTTAATGATTTATAAATAAAATATAATACACTAACAAGCTAAAATAAATATTATACTGTTTGCGTGTAATTTAGCAAAACAACAATTTTAAACTGAATTTTACTTGTATTACACATTTAAAGAAAATGTTGAGACATAATTCAAAAACCATTTAAGATAATAATATGGATGGAAATTACTCCCAAAAAACACAAAGTGAATGCTTTTCCCCATACATCATATAATATGCTTTTTATGCCACTTATAACGAGTGTTATAATAATCATAACACAAAAAGCGCATAAATTATACCTTATTTTAGGCACTAATACGTGATTTTTGCTGACATTTAAACGTCTTAAGATATGTTTTGCACAAATCAAACATTACTTAAAGATTTAAACCATAAAAACTAATTTTCTTGTTATATAAGAGATCTACTCTAAAAACAAAACTTTTTGTTTGAATTTTCATAAATACTGTAAATACAAGAATATAATTTCTTTGAAGTAAAAGCAAAAAAATTTAATTTAATTTTTATTATTTGTTTTACTTTTTGGATAAAGGATTAAGTTTTAAATAACATATAAAATATGTTAATATAGTGCTGAATATTTTTACTTTTAAAGAATATTTCATAAATTAAATTATTTTTTTTAACTATCAATAAGAATTAATAAGTAAGAATTTTCATTATTAAGTCAAATATTTAGTTTATCGTTGAATTCACAGTCTTATAGCGATTAATCACCGGTATGTTAAGGAAAGGTTATTTATTTGTTGTATAGAAATACAGTTATTTCTGTTGAGAGAGAGAGAGAGAGAGAGAGAGCCAACAAAACCATTATGGAATGGCGTTTAGCAGCCTTTCCATCAAACGTTAGGCTAAAATAAAAGTCTCAGCAATATGATTTAAAAGGGCTACGAAAAAGTGATTAGTCGTGTGAATGGAGCACATGGATGATGAAGGGAGAGGTATGCTATTGGTTTGGGTATGGATGGCTATGGTATACAGTGAGCATTAATTTTCAGGGGGAGAGAGAGAGAGAACTTTTATTGATAAGTACTTATAGAAGTAGACATTAGCCCTATAGACCATACAAGTGATTGTAAGCCAGTATAACACAAAGCTATCGGTGATGTTAGTTAACGGGTGAATACATCGCACACACGAACCCATCCATAATGGTGTCGGTGCTCATTGGGCTCAGGAATGTAGTTATTGTAAGCTATTGTATGATGAGTGGCTGACATGCCATAAGACCTGACACATGGATAGGTTGGAGGAGAGAGAGAGAGAGATTACAGTGTTTCAAGTCATACGACTGCCGGTGCGTTCCGGGAATATAACTAATACTTTGCGTTCAATTGTATATCTCATCAGTGAATTAGCCATCAATTTATGAGTCTCTCTCTCTCTCCCCGCGAGTCTATTAAGCCTATTGTGTGGTTAGTTGTAGTGGTGAGAGCACCGGGAGATGAGGTGCTGAGAATCGGTGCAGATTTTTCAGCCCTAATACAAAAAATACTCAATTTTACGCCCAGTGTTCGAGCCATACGATTACCTCACAAATCAGGCCTAAATTAAATACACTACTGTACTGTATATATACAAAATAGACGGCACTGGGAGTCCATTAATTTAATAGCGGAATTGCTTAATGAATGTCTGGTGAGTATTGGCAACACTTCAGCACTGTTATGTCAGGGAACTGGCGATTGTGGGTACGATGTATTATGTATTATACGGCATGTGTTACTAATTAACCTTTTGCTGAGACTTTTATTTTAGCCTAACGTTTGATGGAAAGGCTGCTAAACGCCATTCCATAATGGTTTTGTTGGCTCTCTCTCTCTCTCTCTCTCTCTCTTTCTCTCTCAAAACACACAAAACAACTTAACCTCTCATTGTATGCGAAAAATACATTACAATATAATAGGGAACTGTAGGCTAAATAGGCCGCACTTTTCGCTAACCATTCACTTCGTTATTATCACGCAATCGGCGATCGAGTTATACGACTGAATGCTAACCATTAAAAAACCTCTGAATACAAGCTATTAATACAAACTTTAATCGACTTTCTTTCTCACTTACTCACACTTACCTCCCTCCCGGTGCTCATCACCACACATAAGTACACAAAACACACGAATTCAGAGAGTTAGCCATAAATTGATGGCTAATTCACTGATGAAAAGTGAACGCAATGTTTAGATATGTCTGGAGTCGTATGGCTTGAAAAAGTCTTTTCTCTCTCTCTCTCTCTCTCTCTCTCTCTCTCCCCTTCAATCCCACTCTAACTATAACTCAAACCCAATGTCTTATTGAGTCCGCACTGAACTCAAGAGTTAACCCAATATTTGTCTGAAATGTTTATTCAAATCACAAAATCAGTGGTTGAGTGCGGGTTTGGGTTACGATTGTGTACTCGAACTAACCAAATGGATAGACATTTCTATTCAAATAACTGCATACTCTTCCCCCTTCTCTTCCTATCCCTGATTATATAAGTTAATAAGCATTATCTATCATAATACCATGTTAAATTATGTTTTCATGTACTCATAGTTTTCTGTTAAATGAAAAATTAATTAAATTATAATGCCTTTTAAATTTAAATCATTGTGATTTGGAAATGTCATCAATATTTTTTAATAATATAAAATAATAAGCTAAATTGGCTAAAATATATTTGATTATTTCATAGTATAAGTATTACAGAGTGTCCTAAAATCATTTCACACATTAAAGCCATTTTAATACTCTATGCTATTCCATATAAAACTAACATTTTCATAAATAGAATATTCTTTATATTTGATATACAATGTATTATTATTGCTAAACCAAATGACATGCAAATGAATATAAATATGTGAATAAATTTGTTAAAAATTATAATTTTGAATGAGCTTTACTTAAATATAAATGGGACAAGGAGTGAAACTAGTTGTGTACTGAATATTGCGAGTTCTCTACAAATATGCAAATTTATGTTTAAAAATATTCTGTATTTATAAGGACTCTGTATTATTCTGTGCAACAAAAAAGAGATAAAATGTGTTCAAACTTTAAAGGCTTATAATTTGTGTGAAACACGAAAAGTCTTGTTATTGTGTTTTATTTTATATGCAAAACACACTTAATATACAGAATATTCTTAAGGCTTTTAACTGCAACTAATGTTTAGTTAACGTCGAGTGCATTATAAATCACATTATATTCAACTTTCATGAATTCAAATACATCATCCTCTCTCTCTCTCTCTCGTACTTGCATTTAATCAAAGTTTTTTATATAACTTCTTTATAATACAAATAAAAGATAACTAACTGAACAAAACATGTTAACTCCAACACAGTTAGCATACTATGAGAAATACAGCACCCGTTATGGTATGGACTCTATATTGTTATAGAGACTTAGTGAGTGAGTGAGAGAGAGAGAGAGAGAGAGAGAGAGAGAGCTTTGCATAATTTTCTCTCAACTTAGTTTGTACCAGCTTATTCTATGTATATATATTTATCTCTCTCTCTCTCTCTCTCTCTCTCTCTCTCGTTCCCTGTACTACACGAGACAAATGAGGTGAAGTGGGCTTTACGTCTTAGTTGTGGTGCTATATGAGCACTGGTAGCCAAACGCGCAAATACATAGAATAAGCTGGTACAAACTAAGTTGAGAGAAAATTATGCAAAGCTCTCTCTCTCTCTCTCTCTCTCTCTCACTCACTCACTCACTCACTCACTCACTCACTCACTATAGTGTTGGGTTAATTACAGATACCTTTCCATCACTCGCACCGGGAATATCCCTGACAGGGCTCTTGTGTCTCATGTATCTACTAAGCTATTCAATGGTAATCCATTATAACAGATAAATATACCGGTGCTCTCACACTGTCGGCACATTTGTATACCAGTAGTTATTGAAAGGATGTACACAACGGGGCAAACATAATATGAATCCAACATTTTATTTGATATTCTGATATACAATAGTGGGAAAGGTATTAAAAAGCCATGTAGTGTGCGCCTGTAGTTTGAATAGTTTATAATGGAAAATGCTTACAATATAGTAACTACACTAATCCTATAAACTATTATAAAAATGCATTCAATAGTATTGTATGGGTTTTACAAATGGATTTTTGTTTTCCATTCAATTCAGTGTTAAATAGTTTTTATGGCCTTTTATTGTGTGTTTGTGCTATAGATTAGTGACATTTGCGCGTTTGGCTACCAGTGCTCATATAGCACCACAACTAAGACGTAAAGCCCACTTCACCTCATTTGTCTCGTGTAGTACAGGGAACGAGAGAGAGAGAGAGAGAGAGGGAGAGAGAGAGAGGGAGAGGGAGAGAGAGAGAGAGCACCGGGTGATGTCATGTCAGTCCCTCATTCACTACAATACAAATGATGTTTAAATGCGAGCATTAAATGAAACATTACTTATATGTTGTGAAAAGATATTTGTGTTATATTTTTCGCATTAAGATTATGTGCAGTGGTTTAGGATGGGGTCGGGATGTCTGTGCATAGGGCTATGGGTTAGGCATATATTCTACTAATGAAATGCATTAAATAATTCATATGCTGGAAGTAATTTTTTACTAAAACTATCAGCATCAATTAAGTCTTATCAGTGTTGAAAAGCTTATAAAAACAATAATATATATGAATACCCTGATGATCCCATACCCTTCCCTCTACAACCCTGTGCCCAATCACCCGATGATTTGGTTTTATGATATATACTCCTCTTATCTATTATTGTTATAACGATTATTATTATATATTTACGGGTCAGTGATGTATGATTTCTACCTATACTACAGGCGCTAATGCCCGGGTGCTTAGCATTACATAACAAATGCTTTTCTTTACCTTTACTTTTCATTTTTCATTAATATATTATTAATACACTTATGGCTCGGAATGATAATCAAAACAGTTATTTATGTGTATATGAAGTGGTGGTTAAGTAATGACATTATGTCTTATATTAATGTGTTTTATATCTAACGAAAAGTTTTCACCACTTATTATATTAATATGCTATCGAATAGTGTTCACACAATTAATGACTCTAAAAACTAATGATTGTATAGAATTTGTTTTGTGCTAATGTTTACTTATACGGTACTAACTGTCAATATGTTAAGTATTGATATTTACAGCATTTCTATATTGTAGAAAACTAAAGTCATTAACATTTTTTTACAAAACGTATATTTTGTTTTAAAATAAATGATCAAGTTTAATATTTGAACTCTAAGCATAAATAATAAAGTTTGCTTGATTTATCCATTTACGATCTAATAAATGATTGGATTAGTTGTATGAACTCTATTACCAAGAAATGTACTGCTTTTGTCAAATAAAGACTTTAAGTTTGATATTTGTTTTTAATAATTCGTTGTATAACTAGTAATTTCATTAATATCTCCATAAATACAATATATTCGTGTTTTATAGTACATAACGGGTAAATTAAATTTAAGTTTAAATAAGAAAGGTAGAGTTAAATAATGTATTTCTATTATTTCAGACGATAGTAGGAATGTCATGTCCAGTCATAATGGCGTATATATGCCTGTCCGGTCATATTTTGTTTATGGACAGTTGTGTGGCCCTGGTACTTCGGTTTGAATGTCCACAATGCGGATCAGTTATGATACCTTTTGCTGAGACACACTTTTAACACATACTTAATAATTGAAGTTTAATGTCTATAATATTTTATCAAATTATAATTTAATCGTATGTTAATTAAAATTAAGATTTTTATATATAATTAAATCAAATGTTTTATATTAAATGTAATGCATTTTATGTTTATTTGTTTCCAATATTCTGGGAATAATTGGATATAATTTTATATTAAAATGAATATCTTTTATTAAAATCATCATTCAATATATTATAACATTACGTATACTAATTTTTATATAATAAACTCAATGATTAAATTCATTTTAATGAATAAATAATTGATTTTATAAGTGAATGGTATATAAAATCAAATGTTTATTTAATTTACTTAACACTATACTCAACGAATGGAAACAAATCCCATTTAATTGATTTTGTGATTTATTATGACTTTCATTATAAATAGTAGTGTCCATTGAAAGGAAAAACAAACTTTGGGTCAAAATAGTACAGTATAATACAATACATTGAGTGTAAGGGTCGGCTAAACAAACAATTACTATAAAAACAATACCCAATTATATTATACTCTCTCTCTCTCTCTCTCTCTCTCCCTCTCTCACTCACTCTCACTCACACACACACACACACATTTTGAACACCAAGTAAAACAACATGTATGTGCAAATCGCACTGACATTTG